ATGGTCCATTGAATCTTTAGGATTGTTCGACTTGAAACGGATCATCACCATCAGATCGATCGGTGTGTGACATCAAAGTACCGCGAGAGCGATTAGAGAGCAGACTTTTGATGCTTTTGAATCGCTCTCGTGGTACTTTGATGTCATACACCGATCGATCTGTGCAGCGCCGCGCTTCAAATCCAACACGCCAAATGATTCACCTGGGTTCACCCAATTCATTCAAAACGTGCATTAAGAAATGAAATGCCGCTGTGTGTTGCTCGGAGACGAACAGTTCTGCTTTGTCTTTATATTTTCGTAGGCAAAATTTTATATAAATATATATATATATACATATATTAAAATGTAATGTATTCCTGTGATGGTAAAGCTGAATTTTAAGCAATTATAACAGTCAGTGTCACATGATTCTTCAGAAATCAAATTACTCAAGAAACTTGTTTTTAGTATTATTTGATGAATAAGTTCAAAATAATAGCATTTATTTGAAATAGAAATCTTTTGTAACATTACAAATGTCTTTACTATCATGTTTGATAAATTTTGTACATCCTTGCTGATTCAAATTAATAATTTCAAATAAATAAATAAATAAAAATACTTAAAATCTAAACTCTAAACTAAAAAATGAAAAATAAATAAATACAAGTGCCTAATAAGCGACTTCTTTGGGCTCACAAATCGAACTCCTCACGGCAGACTCTTAGTTAGCATGAGAACATGATAATTAGCATGTTGCTAAGCTAACGATCAGCCTGTGAAGACACATATCAGGGCACAATGCTATATCATGCAGAGAAATACAGAGCACACGATATCGGGTAAAATAGTTTTTAAATTAGATTTAACTTCTTTATTATTAGATTTTTTTTTTTCAAATTATTATCATTTTAGCAGCCATCTTGGATTTTTTTCCCCCCTCACGAAGCTTATCAAAAGACATTCTGGGATTTCTGTTTGCATAAAAATGCAATGCCCTAGAATTTGTAGGCAGCACTAGCATTAGTTTAAGCACCTTTTGGAACAGTTCTCATGTCACGCTCTATGATATCTTTAAACGCTGTCACTGTAGGCAGCTCACTAGGTTTTGCAACAGATCTAACATGTCTATTCCTGCACCTTTACATCATACCGATATAAGTAACAGAGTAAGTCTTGAATTATACTGAGTCCCGTGTGACCTAAAAAAATGAGAGAGGAATTGTCTCTTGTATTTATCTTCATTTGTTTCTTTGTGATCTAAATCTAATTGCTTTGCGGGTCTCAACGGATTCTCCCCGGTTAAACACATTACACCCACATTAATAAATCATGAGCTGCACTGTCACAAGGAAATAAATTATGCTAAATAATATCCTATAACTTCTCTAACTAATTAAAGCCGTGTTGATGACTTGGGGAATGGATTCTGCGAGGCAGATCCACGAACTCCATTTGTTTGCCTCTTCAAGTTCAAGTGTGAAGACATCAAGGATACCGAAGTGACTTTCTTCTCCAGCTGATGACTGACAAGATCCCTTGTGGGATGTGAAGCTGTGCGAATTCTCCAGTTAAAAAATGAAGAGGGTGTTGAACGGCAGTGAAGACTCACCAAGAGCCTCTCGAGAGGGTTGTGGAGGCTCTCGATTTTTCCCACAAAGCTGTAGCTGTGACAGGCTGCCAGCCCCTCTGATGATGAGCTTCAGAAACACACATCAAGACTGCCAATCCAGTGGACCAACAGCACCCAAGCTGCACCACATCAACTGGGCTTCACTTTATGGGTGGTATTTTGAGGCTTAAATAAAAAGGGATAGTTTACCCAAAACTGAAAATTCTTTACCTTCAAAAGATCACAAAAGATTTGAATTTGTCCATTCGATGGAAGTCATGAGGGTTCAATGTTGTTTGGATCAGAATTGTCACTGTCAACTAAAACGTTTTTAATCGTTTTCGTTAACTGAAATAAATCTGAAAAAAAAAAAAACAATTAGGTGAAAAAGAAAAAAAAAAAGAAAATTTGAAATAACTTAAATAAATAAGCTATATGTACTAAATAAGCTAATAAGTACTAAAATTACTAAAAGTTAAATAGAAATACTTAAAATGACAAAATAAAAACAACAAAAGCAAACATAGCAAAATCACTAAAACCTAAACTAAAATAATTTTTATATTTTTGGTTTTTATTTTAAAGAATTCAAAATAGTAATAACATAACATAAACACTACTAAAATTATATTAAATATACTAAATTCTAACAGATTTGGAACAACACGAGAGTGAGTAAATAATGACAGAATTTTAATTGTTCGGTGAGGCATGAAAGCTAAATTTAAAATAACAAAAAATAAATAAAATTACTAAAACCTAACTAAAATTAAAAAAATAAAATTATATATATATATATATATATATATTTATACAACTGCTGATATAGAGCCGGTATCGCTCGAGTACAAGAGTGATATTGCTCATATATATATATATATAAGAATTCAAAATATTAATAAATACTATAATATAAATAATACTAAAATTATTTTTAAAACACTAAATTCTAACAGATTTGGAATGACACGAGAGTTGTTCACAAAACAGTAGAAAGATGAGGGAAATTTCATTATTCGCTTTGCAACATCTCTATTGGAATCTATTGTAATGGGAGTCTCCCGTGAGAAGCAATATTTCAAATCATTCACTTTCAGTAGAGGTTCTATCTATTTTCTTTTCTATTCTATTCAACAGACACTGACCTTGTGATATGGTCACTGGATTTAGTAAACAATATCCCATGAATTATTCCACCAGAATTCTTTTGATAAATCCTTTTTCCCCCTTTTCCTCACCTTCCTTTTTCTAATCCCTATTAGCATCCTTTACTGTGGGATTTTTTCTAAACTAGGACTCAAGGTGCAACTAAAGAATATCCAGACACAGAAACAAGAAACATGTTAATGCAAGGTGATCCTCTCATACTCTCCTCATCAAAAAGGCCAACAAGGTGTACAACAAGGAATCCAACCTAATATAACCCTCTTTGCTATCCTGATCTTGTAAGCCAGGGCTTCGCTAATATAAAAACCTTGATGTGTGACACATCAGAACCTGATGGCGTGAGAGGCTATAACAGAGAAATGATAGCTGAAGCCGGCAATCCACCTGACATCTTTGACACTGTAGCTTGGAAAGCACCAACAGATCTAAAGTGAAATGTTCATTCTGTCATCTGAGATGCTTGATAAGATTGCACATTAATGACATATCAACCAGAAGACCAGATTGACTGCCAGACATTTCTAGGTGATTTAAAGATTAAAGGATCAATCTCCATTGCAGATCTGAGCCTGAGGAAAGGAGTGCAGACATTTGCTTCTGCCATAGTGCGCTTTTATCATCAGAGATACACTACATCACTTCTGGCCACCTTATAGTACCTCAACACACTTGTCCTGCAATGCTTCACAAGCATTCACAAGCTTCACTGAGTATTACAAAAAATAAAAATAAATAAAAATAAAATAAAATAAAGGTAGGGGTCTCATCTGCTGATGTGGATTCGTAAGAGCTTTCAGGATAAAAATGTAATACATATAAAGTGCTCCATGGACCTGGTAATCAAGTTACATGGCTGGTTTGCCATTTAATTGGGTACAGTATTTGACATTTTAATTAAATATTTGCTCACTATTTCTACACACATGAGCAGACGATGGACTATTTAATAAATTATTAGCTGAAATGAAAGAAGCAAAGATGGGAAAATAGAGGAGAGAGAAAAAAATTATTTACAGATTTACAACTATATGCAAGAACTAGATGTTTACAGTTTCAGAAAAAGTTTTACAGCTTTAGTGCATGGTGCTGGCCTGTGCAAAACTCATCGCTATGTTGCTAAGGCATTTTAAATAGTTGTTATTGCATTGCAACATACCTTGGATGCTAATGTGTTCTGAGTGGTTGTTAATATGTTGCTATGCAGCTGCTGGAGTGTTCTGCTTGGTTGTCTTTGCGTTGCTATGCAGTTGCTAGGGTGTTCTGCTAGGGTGGTCTTGCATTGTAACATATCTGGTTGCTAAGGTGTTCTGAGTGGTTGTTAATATGTTGCTATGTAACTGCTAGAGTGTTCTGAGTGGTCATTGTGTTGTTGTGGGGTTGCAAAGATGTTCTGATTGGTTGTCATTGCGTTGCTATGCAGTTGCTGAGGTTTTCTTTGCATTACTGTAGGGTTGCTGTGGTGTTCTGAGTGGTTGTCATTGCGTTGCTTTGTGGTTGCTGGGGTGTTCTGAATGGTTGTTAATGCATTGCTATGCTGTTGCTGATGTGTTCTGAGTGGTTGTCATAGCGTTGCTATGTGGTTGCTGGGGTGTTCTGAATGGTTGTTATTTCATTGCTAAGTGGTTCCTAAGGTTGCTAAGGTGTTCTCAGTGGTTTTTATTGTGTTACTACGGGGTTGCTGGGGTGTTGTGATTGCATTTCTACTCATACGGTTGTTCTGAGTGGTTGTCATTGCATTGCTATGTGGTTGCTAAGGTGTTGTGAGTGGTTGTTAATTCATTGCTATGTGGTTGCTGGGGTGTTCTGAGTGGTCGCTAGGTTGCAACACTATCTTGCTCTGAAAAACAGCTAGACGGATGAAACAAAATGGAAGAGGAAAATAGGAAAAATAGGAAAATATAGGAAATAGGAAAAATATAATTTAAAAAATCTAGACAAACTAGTCAGTCTCACTATTTGATTAGTCACCTGCTGGATGACTAGGCAAACAGGCTCTATTAGCTTAAAACTCTCCATGCAAGCACTGCTTCCAGCTCTAAATAGAATTTTAGACCCATCTATGACAGTGAAACACTGAGGAAAATCCAATAAATGTCTTTCCTGACCTTACTAGTAATGCAAGTTGATGATCTGCAACATACTTATTAAAAAGCTTGCGGAGCTTATACATAAACACAAAACACTGATAGCCAAGCTGAGGGATTACACACTGCAAAAGAAGTACAAAATCAGATGTTACCTTTGAAAGGTCACCCACTTCCAAATAGAAACAGATGATGAAGACATTCCAGGCGACCCACAGCACCAACCAGACTGCATACTGTGAAAGAGACAGGAAGAGGGTGTTTGAAAGACCTATTTTAACCTCAGACCCCCTAACAACCAACTAACCAAATACACATTTGCATATGTTTGATTAATTGGCCTATAAAAGCGTAAGTGGGATATTTTCTCTGTAATTAATTATCCGATGTGTGTTCCTTAAAACATTCAGCCTCCACAAATCTGGAATCTGCCAAAGAAGCGGTGCAGGCAGATGATGCATTTCGCAGCGGAAGCAGAAACCCTGTGTGGGAGTTTGTGAGGGTGGCTCGTTCCCTGGTTCATGAGCTAATGCTTATCGAAATAGCGGGATGTGATTATAAAACAATGAAACAGATTCCCCAGCAAAATTGCAGTCGGCGCAGGGGGGTGTCTTTAAAAATAAAGCAAATTTTGGTTAAATAAACACAGGTCTCATCCTGTTTCAGATCATTAGGACATGCAACAAACCAACATTATGTTAAACGAATTTGTTCAAAAGACGAGGGTATACGCTCACGAGTATTAGCAGCTCGTAGCATGCGTTTACTGATTAAAATGTAAGAGGTCTGTTAGGCAGGCAGTGATCTTTAGATAAAATAACACTTATCTGATCCAATTCAAAGTGAGACAGGTGAGTGCAAATGAAATACTGAGCGAGGGGAAATGCAAAATCAATTTGAATTACCTGATGGGACTTGAGCGGAAAAACATGGCCTTTAGCGCTTGAAAATGAGCAGTTAGCGACATGAATTTTGAGTAGCTCCCCAAAAGTGGCTCTAATAGATAGATCAATATGGACTTAGCTTTGATAAAAATGAGTATCTGCAAAGACACTGCAACCTTCCTTCACAAATGTACCAGATCGATTCTAGGGGTGTGCACCAATCAGATTTGAACTGTGAATTATTTTTAAAATTTTTATTCAATTCCTTAATTTGAACTGTGATAGAGTATGCAGAATTTGAATGTAAGAAAATGGAAATAATAATAACAATGCACACCTTACAGCTCACGGACGTTTAAAAGCGTGCTTGACGTGCGAGCACGACATGAGAGTTAACAGACACAGAATTACAATTTTTGGATGAGTCAAGTCAAGTCAAGTGACCTTTATTTATATAGCACTTTTAACAATACAGATTGTGTCAAAGCAGCTTTACAGTATCAAATAGGAAAATAGCGTGTCAATGCAAAAGGACAATAGTAAACACTCAATTTTCAGTTAAAGGCAGTTCATCATTGATTCAGTGATGTCATCGTCCAGCTCAGCTCAGTTTAAATAGTATCTGTGCAATCAAGTCGACGATATCACTGGAAATTAAGTGAGCTGACTTTAGTGAATAGTCATGTTGTCACGCTTTGCGATTACTATGGCAACGTCCGCATCGAGTCCATGACACGAGCACTGCCTTGACTGTACAAAACGCATTAAAATGGGAAAAGTGGTGATTTCACCGCTTGCCGTGTCCTATAAAAAAGGGGCTTTAGAACTGGGATTAATTGCGTTGCTCATCTGAAGTGGCTCGTCAAAGTAAAGTGCAAACATCATTTAAATTACAAAAATAAAGTTTAAAGAGTTTCAATGACGATTAGAAAGAACAGGGTTCCTCAGATCCAGCACTGGAGGGTCATTGTCCTGCAGAATTTAGCTCCAACCCTGATAAAAACTGCCTGTAGCTTTCTAGTAACTCTGAAAACCTTGATTAGCTTGTTGTTTGTAAACTATTGGCATGTTTAACAAGATTACATACATATTTAATATGAATGAATATGAATGAATAGTAAAGTGTCCAAACATTCAACTTTGCTAAAATTGAATGTCTTGCTTTGGTCTACACTGGAAGTGTTCCATTAACTCTGCTAAACTATAATTACTAAAACTGAAACTAAAATATATAAAAACTAAATAGAAATGTGTTCACAAAATAAAAACTAAACTAAAACTAACAAAACCATTAATGAAACTAACTAAAACTAAACTGAAATTATAGGAAATTTGAAAACGATATTAAAATAAAAACTAATTTAAAAATTCAAAACTATAATATCCTTGGTACCTAGCCAAGCTACCGATCCAAAATTCTACCAATAAATTAGCTAAGCTAAGCTGAAAGCTATCATTTACAGAAGATGGCTAGCTCGCTACAAGCTACATGGTGAAAGTAACTTCTTACATTTAAGCTACTTTCTTAGTTTTAATAAATATGGATTATTAAAAATACTTATGTAATTTGATCTAATACATATTCGTTTATTTGCTAATTGGTCATCACTAGTTAGTTTCTATAAAACCAACAAATAGACACGCTAATATATTGTCCGGGAAAACGTAATGAAGTCTGTCAATGCTACCCAGCAACTAAAGTCAATAAAAGTCAATAAAACAGCTTTGCTAATGAAACGCTAAATGATTTAAAAACTAATGATACTCCTGATACTGAGAAAAGTAGCTAATATCTTAACTAGTTGTAGCAATGCTACTGCTCAATCTTAAGTGCAAACAATCCTGGGCAGCACTTGTTAAGTCTTATGTCCCTAAGCTGGTTGGCTGGTTTTAGCCGCTTCTTTAGCTGGGAGACCAACTGACCAACCAGCTAAAACCAACTGAACACCAGTTTGGCCAGGCTGGGAGACCAGCTAAAACCAGCTTCCAGCTTAAGACCAGCCAACCAGCTTAGGCTGGTTTTAGATGTTTTTTTTTTTTTTTTCAGTCAGGACATTAAATGACCTGTTGTTGTATGCAGCTGAGTCGATCTCTAACAAAACTGAGCATCATTGCAGCCATTTATTAAGGCTGACCTTGTACAAGAGGGCTGACTCATTTCGTCCATACGCGTGTCAGTCACAATGTACAGTAGCTGTTCTTTATTTACAGATTTGCAATTATATATGCAAAAATCTGTGAGAGCCTCAGGCTAGGGCCAGAGATCAACACATCACTCTTGTCTTCCAACTACAGCGTGGTTGAAGTATCTCCACACATTGCTGTATAAGAAGGAGCCTCCTCCGCATGTTAGAGCAGGAGGGGTCTAGACGGAGCGATTGACTTCAATTAAGTCTCATAATCCTGCTAGATATCTCCAACACGCATTCCGAGTTGATCCAGAGGGAGGAGGTAATGAACGTGTTTTCAGCGAGGGCTGTTTCGGCCTAACCTTTCCCCCAAGAACTCACACTTGCAAACGGAGCGCACCAGACCGTTGAGACTCGGAATTTTGCCATCTTGAAATCTGACATGTTGTCAGGACATTAGATACAGAAGATGTGGGCATGTAGTGGAACCTCATTTGGCCCTTTGCCAGCCACTGGAACGTGCCAAGTTGAATTAGAATAAAAATTTATCTGGCCTGACAGCATTCCCAAAACGGATATAAGCAAGAGTAGTGTTCGAATATGAGCAATTTATTTATGTAGGAGGCTCTCTCTCCATCTCTCTGACCGGCCACTGCTCCTAGACTGAAAAATCGAGCATTGTTTATTCCAAAGGGAGACACATAACACTAAAAAGGCAATCTGCTTCATCTCAACTGGGTGCCATGGCCCGAGTCACATTTGAGGCAATGACCCGGTCCGTCAGTACACTGATATCTCTCTTACGCTGACCAGGGTGTTAAAAGTCCGTTGTACCTGACTGTAGAGAAAGGCAGTCACAACAAGCGGTCTGATCTCAGCCATGCTGAATGTGGTGAACAGCAACTGTTCTCCCTTTATAGAATATATTAGGTATGACTCAACTGATGGACTGGACACCAATATAGATCATACGTAAAACTGTCACTTGAATAATTTGCTTCAGAACCTGATGCATTTTGTCCCTTAGTTCATTTCTTTAGTTATATATTACCACAGCAATCATTCGGATTGAAAAATTGGACCAAAACTATAAGAAATAATTATTTCTATGAACCGAGAGAAAGCTGCAATAAACCCATTGATTCTGACCAATGAAGGAAGAGTTTGCTCATATCCTTGCCGAAAAAAAAAAAATCTTAACACCAGCCTAAACTGGTCTTAGTTGGTCTTCCTGCCTGGTCAGGCTGGTCTGTTGCCTGGTTTTACAAAGGGTTTTGGGTGCTTTTCAGCTGGTCAGGCTGAGAGACCAACTCACCGCCCAGCTAAACAAAAGTTTAGCCAGCCTCAGAAACTAGACTGACCAGAAGGTAAACGATCTTCAAGCCAGGTAGAAAGCTATAATAAACTCACTGAGCATCTTAACATCTTGAAACTAGCCTAAACTGGTTTGCTTAAAGTAGTTTACACCAGCAAACCAGTTTAGGCTGGTTTAAGTTAAGGCTGTTTATTTTAGCAGAGATGTAACTTTTATTAAAAAATGGTTGTCTTTTTTTTTTAAATGTAGTGAACCAAAGTAAGGAGAAACTGCAAACTACAGGTCTAAAAAAACACCCTACAACTGTCTGTGAACTTTGCATGATACAACAAAAAATTTTCATTGAAAAGTCTGTCCATGGTCAGTGTGAAACAACAATCACACCCAATCATAACATATTTGATGCTTAAGAGTGCATGTGGAGCAGGATAGACCAATGAGATTCCACTGAAACCAAACGACTGTCAAAATGTCGTGTTGCTCATCACAGTCGCAAAACGTTAGGACAAAAACTTATATTTGTTGCTTATTGTTATGTTGCATTGTGCCTGGCTAGGATTTGAAGTGAGACACCTTTATGACACCAGTGGTATTAATACAGCAAAATGAAAGCATAACCTGCAAAGGGGAAAGAGAATATATGTCACAAACTGAATATGAAAATATGTGGAAACTCACCCCGGTCACATATCGCGGTCTGAACTGTACTGTCCCAAAGAGACCTAGAATCACTGTGATGATATGGATGAAGTTTGTGAGGATCGGAGCCCACTGGTATCCAAGGAAATCAAATATCTGTCGCTCCAGGATGCTGATCTAGAAATGAAACACAGAGGAAAAAGATACTGACTTACAAAGCAAAGACGAGGACAATGCAGTGACATGTAAGCATTTATTTGCATAAAGGCGTAAACAGATTTCCTTTTAAACCAGGTTCAGCGGTTGCTATTATGACAGCCCTTTGATGTCAGCTGGAAGGCAGGGCGAGTTGACGGACCGCAGGGCCACATGTGAAAGCACACACGCCTACATTCTACATGCAGCCAGAGGAATAGCCCTGTCACACAGGCGATTAATTAGGACCGAGACGTGCCGCTCTCCGGAGTCAAACCTCCCACCCTTTCGCAAAAACCAGAGATGACTTGGAAATTAAAGCTGGCAAGTCCAGCCTCGCAGCTCTGGGTGCTCAAATCTCAGCCACTGATTGGACATGACACTGAAGTCAATACCACAAGCTATGGCACTTACAAAAGCAGACCAAGACGGTGTCACGGCTTCATCCCCAAAGGACCTACAAGCAGCCAGCCTCATAAAGCTAATGCTAATAGCACCCGTGTCTCCAGCTGCATTCACAAGAAGCTCCGTTTAACAACCTCAGATGCTCAAGGTCTTTTCTGGAAAGGAAACCAAACAAAAATCACACCATTGAATCACTTGATTTGTCTTTTGATGTAATGGGGGATAGTTAAGAGCAAAGATTCGGGATGAAGGTTGTTCAATAAAGCTATTAAGGTCACAATGACATTTGTGTTTTCAGCGGTTGCATTTTCAAACATCTACTCAAGTGAACATCAATAGAGGCTTCAGAGGGTTCAATAGCAGCATGAATCAAATGACTTAGAGTCGCACCGAGAAGCTGTGTTTAAGTGTTTCCTATTCAGTGCTGTTTTTGCAGCAGAGGAGACCCTGTTCAACCCTACAGTCCACCCAGTGGATCAAAGAAATAAAATATATTTTTTTAATAACTTTTGCTGAAATTAATTATTAATTGAGATTTTTAAATTATAACTTTGATTAAATAAAGAATTATTTAAATTCAATTAATTTGAGCAAAAAAATAAATAAATAAAAAAAATAAAAATATAAAAAACATGTATCTTAAACCAGTGGTTGACTTAAAATTGTTTAATTATTTAATTAATATTAATCGTATTAACAATAATATTAATATTAATGTAATTAATATTCATATTAATCTAAACGTAATTATACATTTATTTTAATAATTAATTAATTATTATTCTAATTTAAAAAATGCTAAAAATTCTATAGATTTTATTGAAAAAGAATACATACAGAATTAGAATCTAAAAATACATCATGGTTAATTATATATCAACACTTCAAGTTTCTGT